CTATCTATCTATCTATCAATCATCTATCTATCTATCTATCTATCTATCTATCTATCTATCATCTATCTCTCATCTATCTATATCATCTATCTATCGTCTCTGTCTATCATCTATCTATCTATCTATCTATCTATCTATCTATCTATCTATCTATCTATCTATCTATCTATCTATCTATCTATCTATCTATCTATCTATCTATCTATCTATCTATCTATCTATCTATCTATCTATCTATCTATCTATCTATCTATCCAATCATCTATCTATCTATCTATCTATCTATCTATCTATCTATCATCTATCTCTCATCTATCTATATCATCTATCTATCGTCTCTGTCTATCATCTATCTATCTATCTATCTATCTATCTATCTATCTATCTATCTATCATCTATCTATTATCTATCTGTCTTTCCATCCATCCATCCATCCATCTTTTTTTGAGACAGGTTCTATGTAGCCCTGGTTGGCCTGAACTTCCCGTGTAAACTAGGCTGTCCTCAAACTCATAGAAATCACTTGCTTCTGCTTCCTGAAGCTCCAGCTGGCCTGGAACTCACTATGTAGATGAGGCTGGCCTCAGAACTCATAGAGATCTGCCTGCCTTTGCCTCCCGAGTGCTGGGATTAAAGGTGTGCGCCTCCACGCCCAGCTGAGAGATTAATTTTTAAATGCTAGGTATGATGGCATATACCTGTAACCTCAGCATTTGAGAGGATGAGGCAGAAGGATTATAACTTTGAAGTCAGCCTGGACTACGTAATGAGACTCTGTCTTAAAAAAAAAAACCTAAAACAAAACAAAAAACAAACAAAAAACACCCAAAATAAAACTTAAATCAAATCATAAATATTGTGCACACAAAACCCTCCAAACTCAACTTTTCTGTAATTATTTCTTTGCAGCTTTTGAGAAAGTCTATTCTACAAAGAGGAAAGCCTGTGATTGAAGGCTCCTTGGAGAAGAAACCCCCATTTGAAAAACCTAGTATTGAACAGGTAAAGATATTTTACCAGGAGCTCTTTTTCATGAATTTAAGGCTGAAGGGCCCCCCTCCCCTTTTGTCTCCTGGGGATCAAGCCCAGGGTCTTGTGAACGGGTACACTGAGCTCCGCATGTTGCCTGAAGAGGCTGTTCTTTCTGAATCTCTGTACAGGCCTACCTTCCACCCCATGCTTAGCCTTGAGATGTTCACAAAATGAGAGAAATCCTCTCAGACCTTTGGGTCCGAAGTGCACGCCCAGTTTAATGACTAGTCTAGCTTTCCTCTTTTAGAGTTTTTGTGTTCTTAGAATTCACTGTGTTTAGAGAAGAAAAACACAAAAACCAAGTAGAACATGTGGTTGGTGAAAGCCATGAAATGTGAATTTTCTTCTTCTTGATGTCTTAAAATGAAGTCTTTGTGCTTTTGTTTGGCGCTGTCTGAAAAAAAGCCTATTGAGGTGAGGGAATTCAGTAGTGATGTGGAAAACATTATAACTTATGGGGGCAGGAGACAGAGAGACAGAGAGAATTTTCTACTTTCTTTTCTGTCGTTGTGATAAAATACCCTGGCATAAAGCACCTTTGGGGGAAAGGGGTGTTATTTCAGCTTATAATTCCAGACTAGTCTGTCACAGCAGAAAATTCCAGTGTCAGGAGCTTGAAGTAGCACAGCTGGTCACATCACGTCGTTGCAGTCAAGAGCAGAGGGAAATCAACACATGCAAGTCTGCTTGTGTATGCCAGCTTGAATCCTCTACTCTTACAGCGTTCAGGACCTGATGCATAGGGCATAGTGCCACCCACAGTGGGCTGGTCTTCGTACATCGTTAATAAGACAGTCCTCTGCCAACATGCCCATGGGCTAACCCAATGTAGACGCTCCCTGAGAATCTTCCCAGGTGAATTGTTAAGTTGACAGTTAAAGCTAATTATCACATGACACCAGAGTCCTTATAAGTAAATGCCTTTCTGTAGATCAGTTTTCAGAATACATTACATTTTGAATCTAAAACTATTAAGAATCTGTTGCTCTTTCATGTGATAAGATGGGAATGTTTTGTAGAAATTTTAAATTAGTTGACAACTCTTCTGGAAATAGCACATATTTTTAAATTTTTTTTCTTACTCTGATGTATGCTAAAAGTGCAGGTTTTAGTGCTTAGTTCGGTGTAAGCCATAGTAGGTTTATTTTATTTTTAAATTACGTGTATGTATGTGTGTATCAGTGTGGGTACGCACATGTGAGATCAGGTCCCCATGGAGGCCAGAAGAGGGCGTGTTGGCTTCCCTGGAACTGGAATTTCTGACTGTTGTGAACTGCTGGGTACTGGGCTCCTTTGGAAGAGCAGCAAAGACTCTTGACCACTTACCCCTCTTTCCATCCCAAACCCCATTCTATATGAGATAGTGCAGAGAGACTTCGTTCAGCCAAACAGTTTTCCTGTTAATGGGTTTTTTACCTGTTTTTGCATGTTCTTGATTTTCTCTCTGATGGTCCAGGATTGAAGCAGGTGTAAAAACCACAGCTCAGTCTTTCTCCCTTGTCTCCCTCGTGACCCAAGGTGAGATACCACCACTTTCCTTTGGAGGAAAGGCGAGGCGTTTCTGTGACTTGAGAAATGTCTGTTCTTTTGCTAAAGACCACCAAGGGAGCTGGCTGTGCAGGGGCTCAGAGTTAGTGCCATCGTAGAGCTGTGTAAATATATTGCTTTTCCTCCTTTCCAGGGTGTGAATAACTTTGTCCAGTACAAATTCAGTCACCTCCCAGCAAAAGAGAGGCAGTCAACAGCTGAGCTGGCGAAAATGTTCCTGAACCGCATCAACTACTGGCACCTGGAGGCCCCCTCACAGAGGAGGCTGCGCTCTCCACATGAGGACATCTCTGGATACAAAGAGAACTACACCAGGTACACACAGTTCAGGTGCCACCCCTTGGCTCTAAAGGGCATGTTGCAGTCATGAAATTACTATTTGCCTCTGCAGGAGAAGTTTGCCTGGTTATTATGGTGACTCTGTCAGCTCAGCATGCCTAAGTGATTTAACTTTGAAGGCCCTATTTTAGTTTATTCTCTGTCTCTCTCTGTCTCTGTCTCTGTCTCTGTCTCTCTCTCTCAGCATAGCATGAGGAGATCAAGGACAAGTTCTTTGAACTTCTTTACAGGAGTCAGTTCTCATCTTCCATCATATGGGTCTCAGGAATTGAACTCAGTCCATCAGGCTTAGCGGCAAGCTCTTTTACCCACTGAACCATCTTCACTGCCCATGATCCTACTTTCCATCAACATCTGCTGTGCTCCAGCGGGTGAAGGAGAGATCTAAATCAGTTAGATCTCTGATACCCCATGATACCCCACACGCTGGGCACCCGCCACATGTAGGTACTGAGTGCTTGAAAGGCATCTAGTTTGAATGGAGGTTAAAGATTTGCCAGAAAAGTTCAAAGAAGCCCATTATCTTTTTTGTGGTGCTGGGAATGAAACCAGTGCCTCACAAACACTATGTAAGTGGTCTGCCATTGAATTAACCCTTCATAGCTGTCCAGTTCCAGTGTTTTTCTTTTAAAATGATTTAATGCAGAAATGACAGCAATTTTTATTTCTTACTATTTTGTGTGTTGGGTGGATGGATTTGTGTACAGTGCTTGTGTGGAGGTCAGAGGACAACTTGTAGGAGCTGACTTTCTCTTTCTACCATGTGGGACCCAGGGATTGAACTCATGTCATCAGGCTTGGCAGCAAGCACCTTTTACTTTTTGGACCATCTCACTGACCCTGATAGTATTTTTTTATTTATTCAGTGTGGCTGTTAGCAAGTTTAAAATACATATTATGGCCTGTATTTTCTTTTTAAAAATCTTTTTGTGCTAATTTTAATAAGAACACAAGAGTAAAAATCCAGTATTACATAACAAACTCAGCAAACTGCACGTGGAGGATAAATTAGAAAAGGCCTTGCACATGTACTTTGCAAAACATAAAGACCTACATTTATTTATTTTCATTTAATAACAATGGCCAGACTTTATCTTTTGTTTTATGATATTCCTACAAGTTATTTGTTTGTTTTGAGACCAAGTATATGTAGCCCAGGCTGCCTTGAAATCACTGTATAGCTCAGGCTAGTCTTGAACTCATGATCCTTCTGTCACAACCTCGTGAATACTAGTATTACAGGTGTGCTCTGCTGATCCTGGCTTTTCTCCGTAGCCCTCATCAGAGAAATTATTATTTTATGAAGAAAAAGCAGTCAGCCGGGCTGGTGGTGCACGCCTTTAATCCCAGCACAGGCAGAGGCATCTCTGAGCTCCAGGCCAGCTGGGGCTACAGGGAGACCCTGTCTCAAAAAGACAAAATAATAAATAAATAAATAAATAAATAAATAAATAAATAGGAAAGAAAGAGAGGGAAAGAGAACACTAAATGTAAAAGCTTTGCTGCATTTTAGAAAACAGTTAAAAGCAGAGGGTGGCATGTGGGAATTACCCAGAGGTGGGTGGTTCTCACATTAATAGATACTTAAGAAGTAGCAAAAACAGAAGCTGGGCTGTGAATGGGCACAGGGCTTGTTTCAGGTTCTCCGTTTCCCTGGTTCTGTGAGCTGTAAACCAGGCTCTTTGCTGTTCCTTCCTCTTCGGAGTTGTGCTCTGTGGGTGGTTTGCACTGGTGTGTGGCACAAAACAGGTGCTGGGAAGATTTTGAATTTTGTTTGTATCTCACATACAGAGCTGTCTAAATCTCAGTCTTCCAATGTGGGGCTGGGAAGCTGGGAATAGACAAGAATGAATGGACGGTTGAGTGAGAGTGTGTTTGAGGATGACTCTCAAAGCTGCAGGAGCTGATGATAGGAGCACAGAGAATCTTTCTGTGCCCAGCATTCCGGGCCAACGGCTGCAGGTAGAGCGGACCCTGGTGAAGAGATAGTTGCCAAGAGTCCAAACTGGGCCTGTCCCCAGGTGAACTGTAAGCAAGAGCCTCTGTTCATAATCAGGAGGAGGTGAAGGTGGTCTGTTCTAACTCCCTGCTTCCCCCTCACACTTTGATGAAGAAACGGAAGCAGAGAAGCTGTGAAAATTGGCCAGTCAGTTGTGTTTCAGAATGAAACTCGATTCCGTGACCACATGGGGAACTGAAGAAACCATACTCCACCATGGCAGGGCATCTCATCCACTCTAATCACTCCCAGAATGGAGACTGTTCTAGGCTGCAAGCATCAAAGGCTTTATCTCCTTGTACCTCATGTGTGGGAGAACCCTAGGACTTCAGTGGCCCAGTGGGTGGGAGAACCCCAGGCCTTCAGTGTTCCGTGTGTGGGACTGAACCCTAAGACCTCATTGCCTGGCATGTGGGAAAACCCTAGGACCTCAGGTCCCAGCATGTGGGAAAACCCCAGGACCTCAGTGCCTGGTGTATGAGAGAACCACAGAAATTCAGTGCCTGGTATGCTGGACCACTTCAGGACCTTGTGTGAAAATGCAGAGAGATAGGATTCTCTGTGGTACAGATTGGACTCCAAGATGATGATGCTTATTACAGAGCTAACCTGTGAAGTTTTAGACAATAGAAAATAAAGAATAAGCCAGACTTGGTGGTGGTGCACACCTTTAATCCCAGCACTGTGAGTTCAAGGCCAGCCTGGTCTTAATATGGAGTTCCAAGCCAGCTGGGGCTACAGGGAGAACCTGTCTCTAAAAGACCACGCACAAAAATAATAATAATAAAGTGAAATAAAAACAACAAAGGGATTGGAAAGACAGCTCAGAGGTTAAAACTGTACCCTGCTTTTCTAGAGGACTCTAGTTTGGTTTCCGGTTTGGACAGCTCACAACCACCTGTAACGCCAGCCTTTTATCCTCTGAAGTACATTCACATGTACCCACACAGACACACATAGACCCAAACACAAAATAAATGTTAAAAAAACTCATTAAATCAAATAAATAAATAATAAACAAGCAGTTTGACCAGAATCATTATGAATATAGGAAAAAGTTTAAGAACTTATTATTATTATTATTATTTTTTTTGGTAGTTTTGAGACAGGGTCTCCCTGTAGCCCCAGCTTTCCTGGAACTCACTGTGAAGACCAGGCTGGCCTCCAGCTCACAAAGATCTGCTTGCCTCTGCCTCCCAAGTGCTGGGATTAAAGGTATGGCCACCCCCCTAGCCCTAAGGCCTTAAGACATTAAGAATTATTTTTGTTTTTATTTTTATTGAGATAGAATCACACCGTGTCTCCTGCTGGCCTGGAACTTGTTACGTAAACTAGGTTGGCCTTGAACTCAGAGAGATCTGCCTGCCTCTGCGTACCAAGTCCTGGAATTAAACACCACCATACCAGACATTTTTTATTACATTAAAAAAAGGTTTATCATTGTGGTTTGTGTGTGTCCGTGTGTGTACATGCTTGTGTGCACTCACGCCTTGTGTTCCATGCCGTCAGAGGTCAGAAGAGGGGTTGGATCCCCTGGAACTGGAGTTACAGGTGGTTGTGAGCCACCAAACATGGGTGTTGGGAAGTGAACTTGGGCCCTATATGCTTTTAACTGCTGAACCATCTCTCCAGTCCCAACATTTTATTATTTATTGCGTATATATGTAGGGAGTCATGTGTGTTATAGCGTGTGTGTGGAGATCAGAGGATAGCTTTCAGGAGTCAGTTCCTGAATGCCTTGATGGTGTATTAATATAATTTCATGAAGACATGACCTTCATGAAGAAATAAAGAAGGTTTGAGGGGACTTTTTTTTTTTAAATAAATACTTTATTGAGAATTTCATACATGCATATAAGGTGTTTTGATCAAATCCATGCCCACTCCCTCCCCTCCAACTCCTCCATTTCCCCATCAGTTTTTTCTGATGACTTCATGTACTCGTTATTCTTCTTTATTTATTTATTTTTATGGGGCTCTAATATTCCCCCCTCCAAAGAGGTAACCCTAAAATCTTTTAAGGAATAGATACAAGTGCTCAAATATTTTCTACATTTTTGGCCTTTGGAACAGAGTATGTGGCTAAGAGTTCCAAGGGTATGTGAGTTTCAGCCAAGAAACTGGCTACTCTTCTTTGGGGTCTTTTTACCCTAACTGCCTAGCGAATTCCTCCATCCTATCTTTCACACCATCCTCTGAAGAAGTTACCCAACTTGCAGATAGGGAATCGGGACGCAGACCCCTCTGGCTTCTTCCATGTTGACCTGGGACCCAGGGTGAGGCAATTGGGGTATCCCTTCAGTAGGTCTATCTAAAAGACTCCCAAATTGCATAGTCCTTGAATCATGAATATGTGAAGGAGAAGTAAAGGCAAGAGTAATTAGCATTACAAGTTCTAGACAGGGAGCTAGAAAAAAGTCAGAACAGGGCAATTTTCAAATGTTCCTATTAGACTCCATTGGAATTTCTTGACAAGGGCTTCCGAAAGCATCCCTCTATCGGGTTCCTCCTCCTTTTTCTTTTGTCTTCCAAGGCTGGACTCTAGATGGATTCAGGATTTGCTTTCAGGTATTTTGACAGCTGTTGGAGTGGTTAGAATCAGTGTCAGTTCCCTGTCACTTCACCATGTGGAGGCAGGATCCCGAGGCTCTCAGGCAGTCCCCTGCGTTCTCAGGCCCTCTGCCAGAGGGAGGCCAGAACTCGGCACTCTCTGGTGGTCTGCTGAGATCA